GTCGTTACTCACGGTTACTTGTTAATAATTTAAGAAAACCCAATGAGGCCTGGAAAATGTTTTCTCGCGCGATCACATCTCAACAGGCGCCAGTCGGCGCGACACCCGCCAGGTATGGATTCTCAGTCACGTGACGCTGCCGGGATTATTTCCCCCCCCACCCCTCGTCCCTCGCGCCTACGCGCGACCTGCCACGTTGCGTCGAGGTCGGCGCGCTTGACCTCATGTTCCGGAGATGACCGGTCCGATTGTCGATCCCCCGGCTCCGCTGAGCTGTGTAGCTCTTTTTTTCAGAAGCGACCTGGCTGTCACGAATGACATTTCAACGAAGTGGCTTGTCACGTGGAAATTTATAGCAGCCAAATACTCTTAAAACACGTGAAGTTTATCTTAAATTGTGGAGGGGAAAACGGGAGGGCACAGAGAAAAATCCACGCAGCCACGGGGAGAGAGACACACAAACTCCAAATTTACAGCAAGCATCAGGGTTGGGATTGTATCCACGACGTCTTGTATATCGGGCGATGTAGCTAACATTTTTCCACCACGGCAGACGGGGGCCACGTTTATTTTAAATCTCTCCTCCCTCCCCCCCACCACCCCCCAGGCTACTTCCTCTGTCCACCCAGCATCGGGCAGCGGTATAGTAGGATGAACCACATTTAGCCGATCAGCTGGTCAATGTGTCACTTCCGTCGTGAAACCACCGTCAGCTTCCACCGCATACATATGGTCTATACATTCGTAATAAAACTGAATAATTCACAACCCTCTGTCAGTGCAATGCTCGCCCACGCCGTGAATGGTTGTGGGGGTCGTTTGACCATACTTCACCGTGCTGGTCATTGAGCATTGTCCTGGGGTAATGAGGAAGCCGGGACCAATTCGGATTGACCATGGCCGGGAATTTAACTCTCGGCTGGGCCCGATTGATGGTGCGAAAGCACTGCGTCTCCACTCCCCTGCCGCCCACACATAAATAACATCGCGCATCAATAATTAATTCAGGTGTACGTGTGAAATTCATCACCTGGCAGAGTTACGCGTTTCTGCTCGAGCCACCGTAGACTTGAGTTCACCCTTTTCCGCTTTCTCCGCTGCTGTTTTTGTTATATATCCCGTTGTGCCAAGTCTCTGTCCACTGGGTCGAACTGTGTCTTCCCATCTGGTGTTAGGTATTCTTCTTCCGTGGCCTCACGAGGCCCCCACCCCCCCCCCCCCCCAAGTTGTTTTTCCCCACTGCAAAATCCGAGCCGTGGCGTCGCTGATGACGCGCGGTCGGTGGAGCGAGTCGCGACGCGTCGCCGACGCTGTGTCCTCACAGCCTCCTGACTTGACGTCGCCACCCCCCCCACCCCCTGGCCCTGCTTGGCCCCGAGCCAGATTCAGATGTCTCGCGAGCGGATTCCCCCGCTTTGATTCTGGCTCGGCACGGCAAATAGCCTGGGGCGGTGGGGGAAATCACCTGTGCCACGATTGTACGTGCCAGGAGAAATCGGAGTATTCTTTACATTGTTGAGCGCTCCGTCGCTATTGTGTTGCCAGGCGGAAAGCGCTGGCTGAGTCGGCGAAGTTACAACGGGGTGGCGGTGGGGGGCATGGGTGGGAGGCCGGCACGCCGCACGGCATGGTTTACATGCGGCCTATTTAACGCCTCATTTGACGCTAGGAGGCAGGCAGCCAGCCCGTAACTACGGCACATCAATTTTGGATAGAGTGGAACCTCTGAACGTGACATTCTGCGCTGGCTGTTACGGCTCATGTGCTAACTACCAACTCCGGCCTCTCCAAAACGTCGTTGCGGTATGAATGCCCTGCTGTGATCAATTTCATAAATGACCTCGCAGGAAAGTAAAAATCCCCTTGGGCGGTGTGCGATTGACCAAGCGCTCAAAGTTAGCATATTTTACTTAAACACGTTGGAGAAGCCACGCGCGTACGCGTGGAGTCACGCGTACACCCTTCAGCCACCGGTTTCGCTTCGGGAGTCTTTCACGAGCAGTGAGGTAGCTGTCGGATAGCTGTCAGGACGTGTGTATGTATCTAGGACTCCTGTCAGGACGTGTGTATGTATGTATCTAGAACTTGTGTCAGGACGTGTGTATGTATGTATCTAGAACTTGTGTCAGGACGTGTGTATGTATCTAGAACTCCTGTCAGGACGTGTGTATGTATGTATGTATCTAGGACTCCTGTCAGGACGTGTGTATGTATCTAGAACTTGTGTCAGGACATGTGTATGTATGTATCTAGAACTTGTGTCAGGACGTGTGTATGTATGTATCTAGAACTTGTGTCAGGATGTGTGTATGTATGTATCTAGAACTTGTGTCAGGACGTGTGTATGTATGTATCTAGGACTCCTGTCAGGACGTGTGTATGTATGTATCTAGAACTTGTGTCAGGACGTGTGTATGTATGTATCTAGAACTTGTGTCAGGACGTGTGTATGTATCTAGGACTCCTGTCAGGACGTGTGTATGTATGTATCTAGGACTCCTGTCAGGACGTGTGTATGTATGTATCTAGAACTTGTGTCAGGACGTGTGTATGTATCTAGAACTTGTGTCAGGACGTGTGTATGTATGTATCTAGAACTTGTGTCAGGACGTGTGTATGTATCTAGAACTTGTGTCAGGACGTGTGTATGTATCTAGAACTTGTGTCAGGACGTGTGTATGTATCTAGAACTCCTGTCAGGACGTGTGTATGTATGTATCTAGAACTTGTGTCAGGACGTGTGTATGTATGTATCTAGAACTTGTGTCAGGACGTGTGTATGTATGTATCTAGAACTTGTGTCAGGACGTGTGTATGTATGTATCTAGAACTTGTGTCAGGACATGTGTATGTATGTATCTAGAACTTGTGTCAGGACGTGTGTATGTATGTATCTAGAACTCCTGTCAGGACGTGTGTATGTATGTATCTAGAACTTGTGTCAGGACATGTGTATGTATGTATCTAGAACTTGTGTCAGGACGTGTGTATGTATGTATCTAGAACTTGTGTCAGGACGTGTGTATGTATGTATCTAGAACTTGTGTCAGGACGTGTGTATGTATGTATCTAGAACTCCTGTCAGGACGTGTGTATGTATGTATCTAGAACTTGTGTCAGGACGTGTGTATGTATGTATCTAGAACTTGTGTCAGGACGTGTGTATGTATGTATCTAGAACTTGTGTCAGGACGTGTGTATGTATCTAGAACTCCTGTCAGGACGTGTGTATGTATGTATGTATCTAGGACTCCTGTCAGGACGTGTGTATGTATCTAGAACTTGTGTCAGGACATGTGTATGTATGTATCTAGAACTTGTGTCAGGACGTGTGTATGTATGTATCTAGAACTTGTGTCAGGATGTGTGTATGTATGTATCTAGAACTTGTGTCAGGACGTGTGTATGTATGTATCTAGGACTCCTGTCAGGACGTGTGTATGTATGTATCTAGAACTTGTGTCAGGACGTGTGTATGTATGTATCTAGAACTTGTGTCAGGACGTGTGTATGTATCTAGGACTCCTGTCAGGACGTGTGTATGTATGTATCTAGGACTCCTGTCAGGACGTGTGTATGTATGTATCTAGAACTTGTGTCAGGACGTGTGTATGTATCTAGAACTTGTGTCAGGACGTGTGTATGTATGTATCTAGAACTTGTGTCAGGACGTGTGTATGTATCTAGAACTTGTGTCAGGACGTGTGTATGTATCTAGAACTTGTGTCAGGACGTGTGTATGTATCTAGAACTCCTGTCAGGACGTGTGTATGTATGTATCTAGAACTTGTGTCAGGACGTGTGTATGTATGTATCTAGAACTTGTGTCAGGACGTGTGTATGTATGTATCTAGAACTTGTGTCAGGACGTGTGTATGTATGTATCTAGAACTTGTGTCAGGACATGTGTATGTATGTATCTAGAACTTGTGTCAGGAAGTGTGTATGTATGTATCTAGAACTCCTGTCAGGACGTGTGTATGTATGTATCTAGAACTTGTGTCAGGACATGTGTATGTATGTATCTAGAACTTGTGTCAGGACGTGTGTATGTATGTATCTAGAACTTGTGTCAGGACGTGTGTATGTATGTATCTAGAACTTGTGTCAGGACGTGTGTATGTATGTATCTAGAACTCCTGTCAGGACGTGTGTATGTATGTATCTAGAACTTGTGTCAGGACGTGTGTATGTATGTATCTAGAACTTGTGTCAGGACGTGTGTATGTATGTATCTAGAACTCCTGTCAGGACGTGTGTATGTATGTATCTAGAACTTGTGTCAGGACGTGTGTATGTATGTATCTAGAACTCCTGTCAGGACGTGTGTATGTATCTTGAACTTCTTTCGCACCGTACGTAGCCCAGCACTGCTAATCGGAGGTGCGGGGGCAAATGTGATTTGCCTTTTTAGAGTTGTGGTCCTTTTTGTTTTGCTCCGGTTTGTCTCTATGTTTTGGGCAACCGGTTAACAATTTGTTAATTCGTGTTAGTCCTCAATAGCAATTCAACTCTGCACTCGAGTATCTGTCATATTGCATCAACTTTAGGAGAATTATGTTACAGACACATGGACGGACAGATAGACAGAAATAATACCTGGAAAGATGTTAACTACCTCGCCTGGTATACAGGAGGTTGTGGGTTAAATTTCAACCCTGACGCCTGCTGTATATTTGGAGTTTGCATGTCACTTTCTCCCCGTGGTCCTCCGGTTTTTCCCTCGACATTTAGAATCAACGTCGTGCGTTTAGAGTTCTTTTTGGCCGCTATAAATTTCCACGCGATAAGCCACTTCGTTGAGCTTGCATTCGTGGCCAGGTTGCTTCTGAAAAAGTGGGCCTTACCTGGTGAAATACAAACGGTAGTCTTAGTTTGCTGCTTATGATTATAATGATCATTATTACGAGCGGCACTCGCTTCAACAGTCTGTTCGCGTGCGCGGTGGCTAAGCGGAAGATTCCCCCCCCCCCCCCCCGTGTGTGTGCGCGCGTGTGCAGTACGTTCCTTGCTGCGGAGTGGAGTCAGCCCCGACCTGTGTAACGAGGATGGATTAACGGCCCTGCATCAGGTGAGACGGCCTCCTGTGGCGGGGGGGCCCGGGGGGGGGGGGGCGAGTGGGGGGGGACTATGTGAGAGAGGGCGGAGGGGGGGGCGGCTTAGAGCTGCGGGGACGTCCCACCGAGGAGGTGGAGGGATTAAACCCGCGGGCAGATTGTTGCGTGGCGATTGTTGCCCCCAGCCGTCCTGTGGTGTTGAGCGCATTGACGTTTAATGGACTGCCTCACCTCCGATTAGCCCAGTTGGCTACGTATGGTGCGAAAGAAGCTCAACATACGTACGTAGATTCATGCGTACGTACGTACGCACGATCGACTCCTTTTTTTTAAATCGTCGATTAACAGGCCCTCTTTAAAAATAAAAAATAAATCTGCCCGGACTTCCTGCCTCCCGAAGGCGGGCAACCCCGTACAGGCCACGCCCAGCATGGCACGGCCAATGGAGATGGCTGTGACTTCACCAAGTCCTGTCCTTCACCTCCCGTCCAGCGGCACACGTGGGTAACGGGCGAGGCTTTTATTACGACACGTTTTGCTATCATTAATCCGCTGGGCGGAGTAATGGAACCGAAAGCCAGGAGGCCGGTGACTCAGAGTGCCATATTTGTAGATGCAGACGAAGAACGGAGGTCTGTTCCGAAATATAAATCTTTATATAGGTCATGAGACGTGATGTTTCACAGCAGTTGCACCATAAAGTTTCATCTAGTATTGCTTTTTGCATTGCACAAGGTGGCATACTGTGTATGGAGTGCTCTTGCCAGTAGCATTTGGCAACTCAGCAGCGTTTGCTTAACAAGTCCGACTCAGCTCATGAAACCCGGAATTTCAAAACCGTGGTGGCGCCGTGGGCGGAGGAGGTGGTGCAGTGGAGGGAGGAGGTGGTGCGGTGGGTAGAGGACGTGGCGCAGTTGGGGGGGGGGAGAGGTGGTTAGAGAAGGTGGCCCTGTGGGTGGAGGAGTTGTCATGATGAAGGGGGGGGGGGGGAGGTGGCGCGCGGTGGGGCAAGCCGAGTGCGTCGCGGACGTTTCGTCTGCGCCGTCAATACCGCGCGGCACAGTTCGTTAAGAAGCATCGATCGTTGCCGGGGATTTATGCCACGGCCGCGGCGCCGTCGCTCGAGGGCTCCGAGATCCACACGGAGCCACGCGTTGATCTTGCCAGGGATTATGCTGCGACCGGGGGCTCGGAGCGCCGCCGGGTGCCCGCGCCGGCGGCGCTCAGCGGAGAGAATTTTTGCCGACGGCGTGTGTACGAAATACCCGGGAGATGGTTAGGCAATTAATATCGGGAGGCTTGCCGTGAAATGACTGACCGCACGGGGTCGGGAGGCCCGATGTGCCGAGCGGCCAGCAACGAACAGCACCGTTGAATGTGTAAAAGATGAGCGTCCGTTGGTTTCCTGAACTGAGCGAGGTTCTAAGAGAGGAGGAGTGCGAGGCAAGAAGCCGAAAGGGAAGTGATGTGACCTGCAGTGTGGTGAGTGAGTGGGTGGGTGAATGAATGAATGAGTGGGTGTAACAGTGAGTCAGATGTGGGTGGGGTGAGTGAGTGCGCTGTTGTGACCTGCAAATGTGGGGTTTGTTCAGCACAGTACGGGTGAGGCAAAACAGTCGGTCTGATCGAGAGCGAGTCCTCACCATGGGCAGAGGAATCAATGAGCAAAGTCATGGGGACATTAACCACGGTGGCAATGGCGATGGAGGTTTTGGTCGTTCTGCCGAAGATTAAATGGAAGCAAAGGCCGGGGGAAACGCGCTCCTGCATCAGCCCCCTACGTTTGACGCCTGCCGTCGACGTCCTACTGGACATCTGTGTGAAAAAGAGCTTTGTAGCTCATCGGATTCCTCCGATTTAGGTAAATATTCTGATTCCGATTCTGACGTTGTACAAATACCGGGAGATGGAAACAACACGGCGTACGCCGGAGGCGTACGGCGATATCGCGTTCTTCATTGCAAGGCCCGTGGGCCATTGGCAGCCCCTGGTGGCCTTTAGTGCGTCCCCTAACGCGTGCGGCCCCCGACAGTACACAACAGTTAAAACGCCCCCCATTATCTCCCAACAATGGTTTCAAATGTAAGGCGGCTCTCACACTGTTGATGCCTTATCGGCGAAAGTGGGCTCGCACCCTCTGAAAATGAGTGGAGACAACTCGTCTAGCCCGTCAGCACCTCCTCCGGCCTCACCAGACACCCAGATTCCTCCAGTGTAATATTCCGATTCTGATTCTGACGTTACCGGGAGATGTAATCAACAACAAAAAAATAATTTTCGGAGACGTACGGCGAAATTGCGGAGAGAGAACGAGGCAGTCGTGATACGCGTGGTGATATCGTGGAGATAGAACGAGGGAGTCGTGATACGCGTGGTGATAGCGTGGAGATAGAACGAGGCAGTCGTGATACGCGTGGTGATACCGTGGAGAGAGAACGAGGCAGTCGTGATACGCGTGGTGATAGCGTGGAGATAGAACGAGGCAGTCGTGATACGCGTGGTGATATCGTGGAGATAGAACGAGGCAGTCGTGATACGCGTGGTGATATCGTGGAGATAGAATGCGGGAGTTCCGAGCGCGGAGAGGTTTTGGCTGCGGCTGTGGAAGAGACAGCCGTGAGCGACTTGTTCGGGGGGGAAAAGAAAACAACAAAAAACGCGACGCGTGACGTTCTCCCGCCGATTGCAATCTAAATGCTATTTACATTATTTTAGTTTGTAATGAGAATCTCAGGAATAATTTCACATTTTCGCGCCCGCTTGGATGGCTCCCGACAGTTCATTTCCATACCGCGCCGAGGCGTTATTATTAGTCTAAGCGTGATGTGTTGTAATAAATCAAATTCGCAGATAATATCCTGGACATAGCGGCCGCCGCTTGCCTTAAGACATTAATAACCTTCATGAGAGCACGCGCCTCACTTTACTAGAATTATAATTCGGGCCAAAATGACCTTACTCTTGATTATTTCCGAAAATACACATTCCCTTAAACGCATCGGCGCCGGTTTTCAGCCGTGCTTTTCGCGCTCGCTCTATCGCTCGCTCGCACTGCAATATTTGAACGCATGGCGCAGCGTCGCGTAAACGACCGTCAACGTTTCTCCGTCGCGGCTGATTAGCAGCGTCTGCACCCTTGTTCACCACCCCGGCCATTTCCCGACGCGGTCACGCCTTTCTTGAGTCTCCTGCGTAGCACTCGGCCACTCCTGAAGCGCGGTGAAGCATCGGGGCGCCACGGTGGCGAGATGTTAACTACCTCGCCTAGTATGCAGGAGATCGTGGGTTCGATTCCAGCCCAGACGTCTGCTGTGTATTTCGAGTTTGCGTGTCTCTTTCTATGGTCGTGTAAATCCGTCTCCAGATTCTCCGGTTTTTCCTTCCACAGTCAGTGTTTGGCTGCTATTAAAAAATAAATTCACGCGATAAGCCACTTCGTTTGAGCTATCATTTGTGGCCAGGTCACTTCTGAAAAAGAGCTGTATAGCTCAGTCGGCCTTACCTGGTAAAATAAAAAAAGTTTTAGTTTAGTTTTCCCCACGATGTTTGTAAAGAAGTTTGCACTTTGATTTTGTCCAGTAGCCTATCTATGCACGACGTAGCTTCACAGTGGCTTTCTAATATCGGAAGGAAGATCGTTCCAGACGGCCGCAGAAGCGCATCAGAAAGCGCCGCGCGATGCGGTGACCGCCGTCTTTGTTCGACGGCCAACTGAAAGCAGCTGCTGCCGCTGCCGCTGCGAGGATAACACTGGAGTTACAACGCGGACGTTGTAATCTATTGAGCGGCAATCCTTAAGCAGCAGGCCATTGTTGCTTCCGTCCAAGAATGTAAGGCCAAAGGTAGATTTATTTTTAGCAATCGCGCCGCCGACGTAACCGCATTTGTCACCATCGCTATCGTCAGGCAGGGCCCCTTGATGACTAAAGCACGACCCGTCCCATCGCGTCTCGTCTCCGCTCCCCGAGGTTGTCTTGTTTTTAGCGCGAGACCGCCTGCCTCCCTTGACTGCCGCTCGCTCCATCAACAGTTTTGTTCATCGATTTTATTTTTTGCCGACCCTTCCGGCGGCGTTGAGCTCGCCGCTGTTTTTTTTTTGCACCGCGAAATGTACAGGTGACTAAATAAATAAATCAGCAGCCAGCGGAATCAGCTGGATAAATAAATTAAACACCGAGTGTGATTCGCATCTCGGTGGCATTGATGATAAACTCGTGTTTTGTCCACAAAACTAATTGGTGAATAAATCCTAAATCCCTTTGCTGCAAGAGAAGTAATGGACTCTGATCTCGTTTTGTACAAAGTATTTTCTTCAGTTGATAAAAGTCAATAACAGACAGTCATTGGACAGGAAAGCATGGCTTTGTAAACCAAAAATCTACTCCGGGCCATTATCATCATCAACAAAACTCCGACATGTAATTCACGAATATTAATACAGAAGTAGGGATAATAAAGGAGCGGATTCACTTTGTAGGATGACCATCGCGGAGATGGAACAATGAGATCGGCCCGTTGTGCGGGAATGAGATGGATCATCGCATCCCAGGACTGGAGCAATAAGATCGGAGCAATGAGATCGGAGCAATGTGATTGGAGCAATGTGATCGGAGCAATGAGATCGGAGCAATGAGATCGGAGAAATACGATCTGAGAAATTAGATCGGAGAAATTAGATCGGCTTGCGTTCGGGGAGTGAGATGTACTGTCGTATCGCAGGACTTTTGAGAGCTGACGATGGATGACGTGGGGCTGCATTTATCGTGGCTGTCAAGCCGTCGCCGTCTCCCTCGCTCTCACGATGCAACGGACGATGTCGCCCCGCTGAATGCGCTCGCCGATTTCATCGCCCCGCCTTCGCGTTGGACGCCCTCTTGGGCGTGCTTCCTCCTTGGCCGCCCCTCCAAAGTTCGTCTCGGAACGCTGGCCATCGTCCCCCTGTCAGTGGCGGGTCTGGCCCAAGCCCGCTTTACGTTTTTGAACGGATCTCCTGTGCCCCCCGTGGGCCCCCCCC